TTCTCCCTCTCCCACTCCCCCTGCTTGTGTTCCCTCTCTCGCTGTGTCTCTCTCTGTCAAATAAATAAATAAAATCTTTAAAAAAAAAAAGGATTTTCTCCTTCTTTTGTTTTTTAAAGAGACATTTGAGAGCAGACACACACAACAAGGTGGCTTTAAAGTTGTAAGTGGAGTTAGTCCGGTGGCAAAGTTCTTTAAGCAGGGTCTTTGTTGCCTCTGCATTGCTCAGATGTGTAACATTTGATCACTGAAGTAGCTGGGAGCTCAGTATGATAATGTGGGTCGTTAATCTCCTAAGCCTTTGAAACCTGAATTTACAACTTTAACTTTGCATATCTGCTTACTTCTGCATTTAGAGTTTGGTCAGCACCATTAAGAGGTTTGCAAATGCAACTAACAGGGCTTGCTTTAGCATCCTACCCCTTCAGAAATCACAGATGCAAACAGTAACCAATGTCATAAATAATGCAGAGGATAACACTAATACTGACATTTATAGTAAGCCAGGCAGTACGTAAAATGCTTCTCCAGATCATCTTCATCCTTGTCACCCCCTTACGAGGCAGGCACTTTTATGACCCTGGCTTTCCAGATGAGGAAGTTGAGAGAGGAATCCTTACTCAAGGCCTCAGAGGGATACCAGAGCAGGCCCCCCATTCAAAATCCTCTAAGACCAAAGTTCTCATGTGACAAATTAGGAAACAGACTCAGAGGTAATACAATCTGAGTTTTTGTCTTTTGGTATCAGGTTGTATTGAGTGCTATGTGTCAAGCATACTTTTACAGTTTTTATGGATATTATTTCATTTAATCCCCTAAAAGTCCTGTAAGACAAATGCTGTTATTATCCCCCATTTAACAGATGAGAAAACCGAGACACAAAAATTTCCAAGGTCACAGCTAATAAGTGGAAGAGCTGGGACTGAACCTTTAGCAGCCTGTTCCAGAGTCAGGCTCCTACCTGTGTTCTGCAGCTACCTCCTGAGAGAGTGCCCATAAAACTCAGTCCAGGGGCGCCTGGGTGGCTTAGATGGTTAAGCGTCTGCCTTAGGCTCAGGTCATGATCTCAGGGTCCTGGGATTGAGCCCCACGTCGTAGGGCTCCCTGCTCAGCAGGGAGTCTGCTTCTCCCTCTCCTTTTGCCCCTCTCCCTGCTTGTGCTCTGTCTCTTAAGTAAATAAATGAAATCTTTAAAAAAAATCAAAAAAACTCAGTCCAGTTACTGACTGTTCACATCCTCAGGCCTTTGGGAGATCAAGAGAGGCCAGGTTCCTTCAGATTTTTTTTTTTTTTAAGATTTTATTTATTTATTTATTTAATTGACAGGGAGAGAGAGAGAGAGACAGCGTGAGAGGGAACACAAGCAGGCAGAGTGGGAAAGGAAGAAGCAGGCTTCCCGCTGAGCAGAGAGCCCGATGCGGGGCTCGATCCCAGAACTCTGGGATCATGACCTGAGCTGAAGGCAGTCGCTTAATCAACTGAGCCACTCAGGCGCCCCTCCTTCAGATTTTTTTAAATGAAGACATGCCTAGACAGGGGTATAGAAACTGTGGCATATTTTAAATATTTAAATTTGATGAATTAATTGCTTTAACACAAAAAATGATGTGGTACAGTTCCGCCATTTGAAAAATAATGATGAGATTTTTTTTTTTAAATATTATAAAGATTTTATTTATTTGTCAGAGACAGAGAGAGCAGGAGAGCACAAGCAGGGGGAGTGGCAGGCAGAGGGAGAAGCAGACTCCCTGCTGAGCAGGGAACCCGATGCGGGACCGATCCCAGGACCCTGGGATCATGAGCTGAGCCGAAGGCAGATGCTTAACCGACTGAGCCACCCAGGTGCCCCTAATGATGAGATTCTTAAAAAACATTAATTCATAGTGCTTTTTTAGTAGGGTGGTATGGAAATGAGGCACAGTTTAAAGTTGCTGATGAACATTGTTCAATCCCAAGAGACAGGCTTTGATTTTATATGTTTATAGTTTCTTCTAAAAAATGCCTTCATTTTTGGGGGTGCCTGGGAAGCTAAGTCGGTTAAGCATCTGACTCTGAATTTTGGCTCAGGTCATGGTCTCAGGGTCGTGAGATTGAGCCCCGTGTTGGGCTCAGTGCTGGGCGTGGGGCCTGCATAAGATTCCCTCCCTCTCCCTCTGCCCCTCCTCACCTCGCGCTAATGCACACACTCTCCCTCTTTCTGAGAAAAAAAAAAAGGATATAAAAATGCCTTCATTTTTTATTATTTCCTGGTCAGACTTAAGTTTTCTCGGAAAGAAAGGGATATTTTTTTCTTAAATCAGAAAATGAATTTCCAAGTTACTATCCATGAATGGATACATTAAAATATAGGGCCCATTTCTGGCCCCACTAGTCACTTGCTCTGTAGCAAAAATCCGTTAACCTTTTACTCGTTTCTTTGTCTGTGCAATGGGAATGACAACGTTGGCATCAGATTTCTCCAAAGTACTTTTCAGAGCCTGAATGAAAGGTATTAAAACTATTGCCTGCATTATTCCCAGCTCCCAACCTAGCAATTGGCTCCAATTACCAGCCACTTAGAAGGATTTGTAGGTAAGACTCTTATCACACATTGCTAATTACAACTTTCACAGTTGTGTTTTATTTCTTTTCAAAAGCTAATGTTTTGGTAGTGACTGCTTTCTTCGGGGGTTAGAAAACACAGCTACGTTTCCATACAAACGTCACATTTTTTTTTTTTTAAAGATTCTATCCATTTATTTGAGAGACACAGCGAGAGAGGGAACACAGGCAGGGGGAGTGGGAGAGGGAGAAGCAGGCTTCCCGCTAAGCAGGGAGCCCGACGCGGGGCTCGATCCCAGGACCCCGGGACCGTGACCTGAGCCTAACGACTGAGCCACCTAGGTACCCACAAACGTCACATTCTTTTTTTTTTTTTAAAGATTTCATTTATTTATTCATGAGAGACAGAGAGAGAGAGAGAGAGAGAGAGAAGCAGGCTCCCAAGGAGCAGGGAGCCCGATGTGGAACTCGATCCCAGGACCCTGGGATCATGACCTGAGCCGAAGGCAGACGCTCAACCATCTGAGCCACCCAGGCTCCCCAAACGTCACATTCTTATTAGCACATCACCCATCCATCCCTCACGGGATTATGCAGCTCTGTTCATAGATATAATCAGCTTTGTATTTTCATTCAAGGATAACAAACTAGCAAGGTTGAAATCTTGACTTGTCATCGGAACTGAATTGGAACTGAATTGCTCCCCAAGCTGGGAGGGGAGAAGACAGAGTCAAGCTCTCTTCAGAAATGGCAGTTGTCTCTAGAATCTCAATCGCTTGCCCTCCCTTTCTTCTCCTTCCAGTACGGTGACTATGACCCCTCTGTTCACAAGCGTGGATTTTTGGCCCAAGAGGAATTGCTTCCAAAAAGGGTAAGAAATCAATCCCCTGTTTGGGAAAACACAGCAGAGATGTGGTCTATGAAAAAGCTAACTGAGGGACTTGAAGGAATATTGGAAGTACACGGCGAAATCATTTAAATAAATATTTTGTAATCAATCTTGAATAAAGAATGTAGAATCTCTGTTAAACGTATTAGAAAGCAAAGGTACGTGGAGTTCGTTCACGGCTGCCAGAGCTAGCATGGCCTTGAATGTTCGTTTCCTTCAAGGTGGGTGAGTGCCAGTGAGTCCCAGGAAAGAGTGTGGAGCAACATGTGTTCAGCCCGGGGAGCTGAGCTGTTTGCAGCGGGGCAGGGTGGATAGAGATGAATTGGGGTGGACATTGTAGTTTTTAATCCTTGGTGGTGTTCATCTTGTTCATTAGTCACAGAAGCAGGCCTTCCCTCCCTTTGGCTGCTCCCGATTTTATAGCTCCACTCATCTGTCATGTGTAATAAAGGCCTGCTTCTCACCTTTGCCTGACTTCCCCTGCTCCTTTGATGGCTTTTGTGCAGGAGGAAGCAGCTGCACACGCCGCTTGGCCGAGCTCCTCCCGCTGGGACATGCAGCCCAGGAAAGAGGGGCCGCAGCTGGGCGAGGGGTGCACCCTTCTAAGTTGTGACTCAAATGGAATGGTGCTTGTTTACACGCCAACCCCTGCAATGTGACTGGCTCTCCCTGTATGTGGCTTTTTAAAAATAGCTTTGTTGTTTTAGTCTGATCTCGGAAGCTAAGCTTTGCTGTTTTGTAAAAATGAGGCATAATTATTAAAATGGCAAACAATATCCAAACTTTATTTGTGTGTGGGTTTTTAATTTTGCTCTATTTTTTGGTAGGTAATAAATCTGTATCAAATGACTCCAGAAATGTGGGAGGAGAGAATTACAGCCTGGTACGCAGAGCACCGGGGCCGAGCCAGGTGAGGCTGCTTTATTATCGGTTTACATTTCCGTATGGGCTTTTTTTTTTTTTTTAAAGAACTGCAAATTAGGACATGCTTGTTGAACAAAAGGCAGTACTGAGGTAGATAGAAGGAAAAGGGAGAGCTGGGAGTAGCTGGTCTTCAGTTTTGCGTGTATCCTTCTTCCAGTGCATGCAGTATAAGGAAGGCAGGAGCCAGCCTGTCCGGATGTACAGCCCTACTGCATTCATTGGTAATTCACTTTCATGTTAAGGATTAGAGTGTATGGATATCCCATAGCTTTTGTGTCCATTCCTCTACTGATGACATTTGGAGTAGCTATGGATTTTTGCTTCCTGCAGTATATAGTCTAATATTGTTATATAATTACATGAGTAGTTCTGAGGATTCATTCTTTGCAGGAGTTGCTGAGTCAAAGGATGTGAGCATTTTGCGTTGACAGGTGCCACTAAAGCGCCCTCCATAAGGGTTGTACCTATCTACCTGCCTACCAGCAGTGTATGCACATGTCTTCCCCCCCCATTTCTCTCCCCAACACTCATTTTTATCAGTCTGATTTTTGTAATCTAAAAGATGAAATATTGTGTCTTAAGTATTTGTTAGCATTTTCCTGATCACTGTAGGAATTAATCATCTTTTCGTTAGTCTTTAAAATATTGTCCTCTTCGGGTGCCTGGGTGGCTCAGTTGTTAAGCGTCTGCCTTCGGCTCAGGTCATGATCTCAGGGTCCTGGGATCGAGCCCTGCATTGGGCTCCCTGCTCCGCGGGAAGCCTGCTTCTCCCTCTGCCACTCCCCCTGCTTATGTTCCTGCTCTCGCTATCTCTCTCTCTGTCAAATAAATAAATAAAATGTTTAAAAAAAAAAAATATTGTCCTCTTCTTCACATCAACTTCCTATCATGTGCTTTTTTAAAATTTAAATAATATGTATACTGAAAAGTGGACAAGTCATAAACGTACCGCTCAATGAATTATCACGTGAAAACACCGTGTAACACCAGGTGACAAGATAGCACGTGACTCCCGCCTGCCATAACTCCCCATCCTTCCTCCCCAAAGCTAACCACTCTTCTGATCCCCAATTCCATAGAGTAGTGGTGCCGGTTTTAAGCTTTACATAAATGCAGTGGGACAGTCTCTAGTTTTTGTGTCTCACTTCTTTTACTCAGCATCATATTGTGAGATTTGGGTTTGTGGTATGTAACAGCAGTGAAATTTTCATTTTCATTGCTGTGCAGAACTCCACTATATTAATAAAGCATGAATTATCCATTACACTGTTGATGGACATTGAGGGCATCGGGGTGTCTCTTGGTTTTTGCTATTACAAATAATGTCAATTTTTCAGAGTAATTGTACCAGTTTACATCAGCAGGGTGTGTGTTTTCTAGTTACTCCACATGCTTGCCAACACTGTATGTTCTCTCAGGTTGAATTTTTTAAAATTCATTTGAGAGCATTTTGAGATTGGAGAGAGGGAAGAGGCAAGGTCATAGGGAGATCGAGTTAAAATATTTCAATAGTATATCTATTTGGGAGTTTTCTGCAAGTCATTGCTGCTTTAAGAGCTTACTTTAAATTTGACTCACAGCTTAGAAGTAGGTGACCTGGCTTGGGTTTTACAGCCCAGATAGCTCTTGGCCTAACCCCCGACAACACCCAAAGAAATAAAATCAGGAAGGTAGAGCTCTCAGGTAGCTTGCAGAGAGAATTGTTTCAATACCAAAACCTAGGTGAAGAAAGTTCACAAGCAGATAAAGCAACAACTTAAATCTGCATATCCAAATCCATTTGAGGGGAGAAGATAACATATCACGTCCTTTTCTTGAATTCCTTGAGCTGGGTGACATTATTTACCAAGGGCAAAGCGTGAAATTGAAGGCAAGAGACACTGTAATGAATCTATTCTCTGGCTTTTGTGGGGATGGGAAATTCTGCTTGACCTCGGAGTGTTTCATAGACTCAAGGCTGGGAAGAGCCGTGTTGGTATCTTGCCTGGCTGGTGACTTCCGGCGGATTCCTACGCGCAGGTGGGTGTGCGCCTGCCCTCTGTTTTCTCACTTAGCTCTGGTGACAGTGTCTTTCATTCTCCTCACAGGGATGAAGCTGAAATGGAATATTTGAAGATAGCTCAGGACCTGGAGATGTACGGTGTGAACTACTTTGCAATCCGGGTGTGTTGAATCCTCTTTGAGTTCCCTGTGTATAAACAGAGACTGAATCAGAGGCAGACTGCTAAAATGGGTTACTTCCTTATTCCAGATTGGCAGTCTCTTTAATGGTTCAGTGGAGGAGAAGAGAAGAGAAAGGGGAGAGGGTCTTATAGCCTCATTTTCTATTTTTGGACTTCAATTAGATCCTTGGTAATGAAGTGTCAGTTGAGCCCCCAGGGGGACTTGGGCCTGGTTCTGTGCTCAGCAGAAATCTGTTCGAATACTCTGAGTGTAATGTTTGATTATTTCTGGCTCTATGAGTTCTGGCCCACAGGGAGTGCATGTAAATACTCTTCCCCCAGGGCACAAGGAGAGTAAAGCTACTTTTATAGATTCCTGATTTGTTTGGGTGGATCTCTTGGTCTCACTAGCAGGCTAATTGGTTTTCTATTCAGACCATTAATAGTCCCACTGTCCTCTGGGAACCCACTGCTTCTGCACCAGAGGCTTCTGTTTTCAGTCTTGGCTGGGTGGGCCTCTTGAGCATCTTTCTCCTGAGGTTCTGCGGCTAGATGCCGCACCTAGGAGCTCCATCCAAAGGAATTCATGCCATTGGCTCAGGTATTCCACTGCTGGTTCCAAACTGCAGATAGGTAGATGTTAAACAATACCCACAGTGGCCCACCTTTTTTGGGGGGGGGAAGGGGGAGAGAGAATCTTAAGCAGACTCCACGCCCAGCGTAGAGACACAGGGGGGAGGGGGGAGCTTGATCCCAGGACCCTGAGACCATGACCTGAGCCAAAAACAAAAGTCAGGCGCTTAACCAACTGAGCCACCCAGGTGCCTCAGTGGTCCACCTTTCACAGTTTGCTTTCCTTTTTTGGGTTCCTATAAATTTTGTATGAGGGGCACCTGGGTGGCTCAGTTGGTTAAGCATCTGCCTTCAGCCCAGGTCATGATCCCAGGGTCCTGGGATCAAGCCCTACATTGAGCTCCCTGCTCAGCTGGGAGCCTGCTTCTCCCTCTCCCTCTTCCTGTTGCTCCCCTTGCTTGTGCTATCTCTCTCTCTGACAAATAAATAAATAAAATCTTTAAAAACAAAAAGATTTTCTATAATAATTCAAAGGTTATTTTCTTAAGTTTTATTAATTTCTATTTGCTAATTGTCTGGTTTGTTTAAGGTCAGGCTAGTTTAACACATTTCTGTGGTTTTGGCAACATAACTCCTCTTGGCCCATATGCCCACCATCTAGATTCTAGAAAAGTAGTATTTTACAGTCCTTAAAAAACAGTTTCTTACTAGGAAATATTTCTGCAGCAGTCAGACTAAAATACACAATTGTGTGTGTGTTTTGTGTTACACAGTAGACACAGATAATGGATATTTTAGTGTCTTTTGTGTTCGAGTTCCATCAGCTAAGGAAATTATGTGCTTAAAACAATTTAGAAGAGACTGAGTCCCGCCGCTCTCTGTTTATTCTCTAGAAGTCATGATAGGAAGCAGAGGGTAGAATCCTTTCTTTTTTTTTTTAATTTAAACTAGTCACAAACATAATGAAATACCTCGTTTTCCAAAATGTACTGTAGCACTTAAAAGTACAAAGCCTCACTTATGTTAATGCAGTAATTTTAAGAGCTTTGCAGACAAACAGAGGAATCTCTCTCAGGGTTTGGTAATAGCGCCTGACTTGGGAAGTGTTCAAAGGACTAAGAAGATTTATCTTGGAGCACTCACTTGTCCACCTGACACCTGCTGTTAGATTGGTCCTTCTCATCACAGTCTGAGCACCTTCTCGGTTTGCAGACCTGTTTTGCTGCCCTTGAATCTGGTTCGATTTCCTAGTTGTCAGCAACGGGTCAGGTGCTTTGGGTCCTTATGCAGGGAGTTTCCTTCCACCACTACACAAGCGCAGGGGCATGGGCCTCCAGCCTGAAGATGTAGCTCTAGGCCCTTAGCTGGGTCAGTGACCTGAGGGCCAAGGGCATTTTGCCCTCTGTCTACTCTGACTGCCAACCAACATATGTGCAATCAATTAAATTTTCAGACAGTTTTATTGAGGTATAATTTATTTATTTATTTATTTTTTAAAGATTTTATTTATTTATTTGAGAGAGAGAGAATGAGACAGAGAGAGCATATGAG